CATTCTTGGAAGAGCTTGGGTGGCACAAGTAGGATCCTGCACCCACCACACGCAAAATAAGCGCCTGGACGTCGAATTGCGGACAACAGCCCGTTACATACCTATCACCTACATACTTATATACCATGCCTATCTTACCATACCAATGATACGCCTCACATCATATGGCTTAGTGCGATTCCGGATTTCTGGATTATTTATTCTGTCGCTCAGATTGATATTCAACATGTATTTCTTTTATAGGTAAAACGTATCAAACAAAACGAATAACTCATATTACCGACTGAACTTACCCTCGATGCCCAAAACTCCTAACTTTAATACCCGCAAGTGACTTTGATTGATACCTTATTGGTTGCGATTAAGCGCGGGAAGTTTCGTTATCTGACGGACGTCTCGGTCTCGGTCGGCTGCTCGATAACAAAACCTAGTAAGTACTTTAGACAAAAATTTACAGGAGAGCCCAAAAGCAAATTTTTCCACACACAGTTTTCCTTTTATTGTAAAAAAGTAACTGTAATTGGGTAGGGTACCAATCAACGAATAAATAAATAACGCACGCACTCATAGCCCTGCACAAGGGAAACCCTGCCTCGCGGGTACCATAGACACACACATAGACATCGAGTATATAACCAGAAATAGAGACAATGTCATTCAATTTGTTCGAAAACTATTCTGCCATATAATTACTGTGACAACTGCGCTCCGATCGGCCAGCCAGAATTTGAAACAATTGACGGGTGTCGTCAATTCAATTCAAATCGACCAGTTTAACTAGAGCTTTGCTATAATGGACAAGAATTACAAAATTACGTATTTAATATTTAATTACCGACGAAATTTGATTCCGTTTGTTTTGTGATTAGATGTTTTACTGTTTTTCCCACACCACCGGATGGAACAGCACGCCATTGTTCGAGAATAATAATTATCTTTATTACAATAAATTCAGAATATTTTTGGAATATACTTTATGTTTTATGTACTTGATTTATTTATTGCATTAGAAAATTTGGAATAAAATATGAAATTATTTGACTAATTATATTAATACAACGGCTAAGATTTTCAAAGTTTATTATCCACTAATTGCTAATTCAAATAAATACCTAATAAAGCGCTTTAACCACTTTAAAAACACCAAGTCTTCTCAAATACTTTCACTTATACTATTTGGAATTAGTTAGTGACTTAGAAGGTTTTTGATCGGTCACTACGGTTTTAAGGTTTCGAAATCTCTAGTAAGTAAAAAAAGTCTAAAAATTTGTCCCTTACTAGGATTTGCATTGGCCCAGCCGCATTGCTGAATATGCAGGCTGCTATCGGGAAATAGTTTCCAAAAAAAAAACATTATAATAAGAATATTGCCTTTTTTGCACCCTTGGGGTGGTAATAAGGCCACATCTGCAAAATTACAACTTCAGGAGAGAGTTTTAAAGATTCTACTAGTAAAATTAGTTTATCTTCACGTATTAAATGTATAAAAATTTTGAAATATTAAATAATATATAGAATAATCAAAATTGTTTTTAGGCCCTCCTTGCTTTTAAGCTCGCCTAAGATCTTAGGACTGAAAAACAGCGCTGTCTGCGACAATAACGGTTCCAGACCGCATTATTTTTTTAAGAGACACCTCCTTTTGCCCTCTGACATGTTTGGCGCACCTTTTATTGGTTGTTTATGTTTAGGCTTAACATGTTATTTATGTCAAAAAGTGTCATTGTGGCAACAAAGGATATTTGTATATTTGTAAATTATAATAAGTATTTAATCAAAGTCTGTGGATATTGTGGAGAGGGCCGACCAGTTGGTGATTCCAACCACACTCCAGCCACAACGTGAATTTTAATTCATTTGTGGTGAAAATACCAATTCCGTCAACCTTCACGAAGAAGGTGTTTTGACCGAAATAGTCATGTTCCGAGGTCAACTACCGGACACCCACGTTGCGTCACACGTCGCAAACAATACGTGTAAATAATTATTAGTAATTAGTATTATATTATTATATTGTTATGTACGTCAGTCTACAAGGTATGTATTTATACAAGGTATGTAGCTACTCACCTATGAAGTCGAAGTTAGGTTTTAAACGATCCAACTCTTTCACAAAGATCTCTAATCTTACTAAAAAAGTAAACAGTACCTTATTTCCGTAATAATTTATTAGTAAAGTAAATACACAATCCCATATCGTAGTAATAATTTTATTATCAGATGACCTCTATATTATAAAACTACTTTAAAGTCTCATAAATTATAATATAATTACATAGAAATTATAAACGGGTAAAGGGACTTAAAGCCGTATATTAGGTAATACAAATCCTAAGTCGTGTGAAGAGAGAGAAACCATTGAAGCTGTTTTTATATCAGACATTACAAGGTTCTGTAAAAAGTATGAGAACTATCTTTTGCGACACTATTCTGGCTGTGGTAACTTTGTGGTGTGTTAAATTTCTATCGAATAATGTGTGGCTTGGTAATTGTACCGAACAGAAAAGGGAATTTTAGTGCATATCAGAAAACTTAATACCTATAAAATTATGTCCACTGTTCAAATAACTTTCACATCTAAAAAAATATTTCACTACAAATAAAACAACTGTCTTACTAAACTAGTATCAAAAATAATTTAATAACATATAACACGACTAGACCACTGTTATTTTGTTATTTTTGACCAGTGTCGAACGAAAATGTTCATTTATTAACAAAAATATGGTTTACATAACAAAAATACTGATTGCACATCAATTTAAATTAACTCTAAACGAAATAACAATTGTTTTAACAAAATTACCGTATTTTTTCTCAAAAGTTGCTCTCGGTTAAAAAAATACTGCGATTTTCAAGCAATTAGAATTTTCATTTTTTTTTTTTTGTTGTTCTTATTGTTTTGGGCTAATTGTATAATTGCCCATTATGTCAAATAAAATGTTGTTTTATACTTATAGATTGATGTAGGTACCTTTTAGTCAAACAGGTATGTGTTTTCTCATAAATTTGTGGTCACGAGTTTGTTGTATGCCAGAAATATTAGATTTCTAATTAGTTAGATGTGCATTGCGATAAAATGTTATGCATTAATTTTAGTTCACGATGCTAAATTAATTTTCTTATGACGTGTAATCAGTACCTTTGTTGGGGAAGTGGCATTTGTGGTTGTAAAAAAAACTTGCTTTTTTGGTGAGCGGTTAACTACTACCCAACAGAAAATTTCCGTATTGATAAAGACTTAATGTAGGACGCCCTGCGGCAAAATGGACGGACGATCGGACGAAAGGTGGCCAGCAGCGGCTGTATACGGGAGGCACAGGGGTACACCCGAATTCGAGGGCATAGACTATTTACTACTAAATATGAGTTGTAAATCGAATTTTCGTTCAAATTTAATGATATTATTCTAATATATATATTATTCTAATTCAGACAATTCGATTTGCCTTTCTAATAAATTTAAACCGATAAAAATAGCATTGAAATAAATCAATCAAAAAAAGGTTTGCAAGGCGGGTCACCTCTTTTTCGTCCCAAAATATTTTTTACATCGAAACTTGTAATGAATATGGAATTATACTCTATAATATCAATATCGCATATCGATTTTGAATTGCCAACCGGTACTATCTCAATTTTGACAACTTTATATAGGACTATTATTATTATATTTATTATTATTTATATAATACTATTATATTTATATAGTTTATTAAATAAAAATACGTAGTATACATGCATACATGTGTAATAAAAATATTTAAAAACTACATAAATATTAATTAAATTTTTATTGAATTGATATTCAATTATTTTTTTGTGAAATTACTCCACTAGTTTGTTATAATTATTAATACAAAGATCGAACACTCAGAAAAAACAATAGGTATGCAAGAAGACGTCGGTTCGAATCCGACCGGATCGAAGGAATTTTTTCTGAGTGTTTTTTCTGAGTGTTCGATCTTTGTATTAATAATTATAACAAACTAGTGGAGTAATTTCACAAAAAATAATTTAATATCAATTCAATAAAAATTTAATTAATACAATGAATAGCGACATCTCTCGCCAGGACTGGTAGCTGTAAAGGTACTAACTGGGTGATAAATCTGCAATAGATTTCTCATAGATGGCGCTACGACTAAAAAGTCGTTGAAAGACCAAGTACAAAGACACGACGCAAGCACATAGAAAAATTCGTGAGGTCCGTTGGTTCATTCCGTGGCTTAGTTGGTATGGCGTCTGGCACTGGTTAATAAACCAGATGCTATATAAATGACGTAAACAATTTTTCTCTTCATATTGTTTTACCTTCATGAAAGAGGAATTTTGGCCGAAGGGTGTCATATATCGGCGATTCCGCGGCCGGTTACCTGACACCAGATTGCGCCGCACGTCGCCGATAAGTGAAACCGTGTAGATTAGTTTTTTATTATTATGTTGTATTATGTTAGTTTTAAGGTATATATAATATAGGTGTATTTTGTTTTTATATTGTTATGTATGTTAGTCTTTAAGGTATGTATACATGGGTCTTTGTTACCTGATATAAATAAATAAATAAAACAAAAAAAATTGTAAAGTTGCCAAAATTGGGATAGTACCGATTGCCAGTTCACAGTCGATATGCCGTTTCCGCGCACGATTTTGGGCAGAAATGGGTTTAAACCCGGTTAAAACCCAGGCGGTTTGATTGGATTTTAACCCACTGCCTCTCTCCGACTGTTAGTGTCGTTAATATATGTATATTTAAATAAAGACTTTTTCTGTTACCTTCCAGCCGTTACAATTTTTAACAATAGCTTTATAAAAGTAGTAAAGAAAGCAATTCTCAAGTCTTTAATCATCTTTTACACCTCTTGGCGAGTACGCTTGTTACCGGGTCCATGGGAAATGTATTTTTTTACCTAGTAAATAAACACTAATATCTCTTTTTTTACGGGGATATTTTGTTTCTATTGCGGTCTTAATAAAAGTAATCTATAATGAATTGAAACATTTCATTAAAATGTTACGATCTAAGATTTTTTCTTTCTCTCTTTCCAGTGTGCCTCGCAACGTGGGCCAATGCACAGAATGGGCGTGGACCACGTCAAGACTCCTCAAATCACGGATGGGACATCCGGTTGGCTGTTCCCGGTGAACCTGGCAACGATTATCCGGTCCTAGGGAATATTCCTAGGACTTCTTTTTCGTGTGCTGGAAAATTACCTGGTAAGTGAAAAATCTACACTTAGCATGTATAGCCCATACCTACTAGGAACTTCGATTCAATCAGTACCTACTGGTTGAAAAACGTCTTGACACCACAGCGTATATTGCGAGACAAAGAGAAAGAATACAGAGAAAAACACTTATACCTACTTAATTAATTGTTAACATAAAACTATCCCTTATTACATACATCACAGTAAGAATGAGAGTGTTAAAATTGCGTGCCCGAATTTTGTTGAATTTAAACATATAAAGAGTTCTTAGGTTTTAATAATTGCTATACATTGGAAATGAAACAATTTTGTCTTTCATTCGTTCGTGTTTGTCTTTTAAAACAAACCAATGTTTGAAGCCATGATGCTGACATGTGGCAAGATAGTCTACTGTAGAATTTGTAATTTTTTTTATGACATCAGCGACGGGATGAACAAGCCGTGCGCCTGGGTAAGCGACACGCTCATTCATGACAGTTGCAGTGTTGATTGCAAAGATCTGAGGGGCACTGCCGCTGCGCCCGTCATCCTGAGGCAAAAATTGACAAGCCCCATGTGCCTGTAATTTCACCAGCGCTCTGGACGAACTTCTTCGCAAGAAGCTCTTCAATTCAACCTCAACAACTTTCAAAAACATTGCTTCATTTCCACTTATACCAATACCTTTAAATGTATTATAACTTTTACTGAAAACTATAGCCAGGCTATACACTCAAGCCTCGCTCAGGGCCCTGCGCACGCAATATAAAAACTTCTTTAGGCCGCTGCTATGCGGCTGCTACGGTTTTGCAGTGCTTCTGCAGTGATTGCTAATGCTCACGAGCTTCATGGCACTCTTACGAAAGAAGTCAGCGTCTTATTGAGCAGAAATTGGGCAGCAACACGGGCGACAATCATGGCTAGGAGTGAGTGCCCCGACATGCGGCATTAAAATCTTTAATAATTTAAGTACTCACCTAATCATAAGTTTGTTGTTACTAACACTTCATATATCACTGTTGTCCGTAATAAAAGGTTATTATTATTAAAAGTACTAACAAACCTTTCATATAGACGAAAAAGCATGTGACCTACGTAGGAAAACAAATCCATTCCCGTAAATATTTTATTTCTTCAATTTTTGTAAGTAAAGTAGTTTTTTTTTAATTCCAGGATATTACGCAGATTTAGAAACCAACTGCCAAGCATTTAGAGTCTGCACATCGGGCTCCACATATGGCTTCCAGTCGTTCCTGTGCCCGAACGGCACCTTATTCAACCAAGCAGTATTTGTCTGCGATTGGTGGATGAACGTCAACTGTCAGAAGTCAGAAGAGCTCTTCAGTAATAACAATGACAAGTTTGGGAACCTCAAATTGGGACCTCAACTCATGAAGGATATCAAAAAGATGATTACTCACACCATGAGGAATCCATATGACAAATCCGTTATGAAAAGCAATCTCGTCGTCATGCAAGAATATAAGCCACCTTTTGGACAAATGTTACCTAATGGAGCTCTTATCGCCGGTCCTGATAGAATACCTAACAGTGTTTATGTACCAGCTAAGCAAATACAACCTAACTTCAACTATAATAATAATAACATATTTGCTGCATCTACTCCTAGTCCAACATACGTGCCTCCACCTTTTAACAGCTTATCGTTATCACAAAGAGACGCTGAAGTATTTCAACGACAAAGACAAAATGGACAATATCGACAAAGTGGTAAACTACAAAGCACACAATCTTCAGGCCACATTTCTAACGGACATACCATACAGTACACTTCACAAAATACAGGATATAATAACAATCAATACGGCCAAAGACAGACCAACTTCGAACGAACACAGAACAACAATGTACAACATATTCGTGGACAACAAAGTGCCCAATACAATGATAATAGATCTCAATTAAATAATGGTAAAAGGGCAGAATTTGGAATATCATTTGCCAAACAGCAGTATAATTACCCAAATCCAAACCAAGCATACACAAATCATCATTTACCACTCTCAAATGAAAACGGACAAAGTGAAGCTAAACAAAATTTGGTAAGTGATGAGGTGCCTGCTACTATCGTAACAAAAACTCTAACATTCAATAGAATCGTTGAGCCTAAACCTGGCAGTCCTAAATCTCGTATCACTGTTAAAACCTGGATCGTGAAACCTTCCAAAGCTGCTAAACTAATAGCTGATCCAACTCCATATGCTTATGATAGGCCTTCTACTCGCCCTGCTGCGAAAATCATTGCAAATCCTACTCCTTATGTGTACAATACTCCTACAGCTCAAGCAGCAAAACTAGTTTCAGAGCCCGAAGGATACGCGTATAACAAACCAACCATTGCTGCTAAGCAGATTGCTACCACTCCTTCTCGTCTATACATAAATCCAACTTTGCCCCCACCTCCTCCTACGTTGTCACGATTATATTTAAATCCATCAACCGCCCCACCTACAATTGCATCTCGACTGTATATACCACCTACTACTTATAAACCAGCTGCTAAACTTTACATTCCACCTTCTCAGAGCAACTTAATTTTATCAAGGCAATACTTGGCTCCTAGTGCTTTGCAGCAACCAGCATATTACCAAAGCGAGCAACTTCGAGCATCTCCTACCTCCCCTGCTCCTGTTTATGCAGCACCACCAAGTGATAATCCTTCTTTTTCTCTAACAAAACACTCTCGCATCAATGCTAATCATAACAATCTAACATTTGCTGATATACTTACAAAAGAAAAATTGGATATAACTGTGAACGACATAGTTTCGGACACGAGTAGTGTATTAAAAACAGCGTCTCCTCCTACCTTTGGTCAGCTTCGTCAAGATAAAACTGTAGACTATGTTGATGAGAATTATTTACCACCAGATAATAGCGAGAGTGATGAAAAGCTCACACCTCAATCTCCAACTGTTCCCGCGACAAGTGCTAGACTTGTAGCCCCAGACCTTTCGAGAGATCTAGAACCACCTTTCGAGAATTATAATAATGTACAAAATACTAACCGACTCGCTACCCTACCTTACTTCAAAGAACCAGGTACAGGCACTAACACAATTGAGAGAACTGTTTCTTTAAAAATATCTATACCGGAAAAGGTAGCTTCCTATCTATTTAAAAGTCGCAACGAAAGCGATTACGACAAACTAGAAATATTAAATACAGGGAGCAGTAATTACTTGGTTTTAACAAATAATCTTTTGAACAAAAATACTGGGGCCAGGTTTATTCCGATTGGCAGATTGATTGCTGACGATAAATCAAACATTTCTGATTCACAGGCTCTTGTTTTTTCTCTCTTGGCGGATTCCATAAATGCAGCAAAAGAATACAGCAAGATAACTAAGGAAAATATAGTCACAACTACACCAGCGCAGTTCCAAAACATAGACAACGAAGAACTGTCACACATCACAAATAAAATTTCACAACTCACAGCTTTGCAATATTCAGGTAATCAGAATAACAATTACGCCAATACCGTTTCAACATCACAAACTAGAACCCGTAATAGTAATCAACATCAATCCGCAAAATACACAGCACAACATAACGGCTACCCACAAAATCATCAAGTTCAGCAACAAAATGCCCAAATTAATGTGCTTCCTCAACATACTAGCCACGGCTACCCGGCGCAATATCAAAGTGGTAACTTAGTCAGTCTCCCTTTAAACAACCAAAATGTATACAGTGGTCAATTATACAAACTTCCTGTTCCTGATGTAACCAATCACATTTATAACGCCGATTCTGAAAATGTTATACAAAGTAACGTAAGACAAAATTTTGAAGTCGCACATTTAAATGCTGGGAATGACAACAGCGGCAATAACTTATCGAAACAACAGAGTGCTGAAGTCGAGATAGTTCGATCGCAAACTTTGCCTCTTCCAGCTAAACTTCAATTGGAACCTTCAAACGATGCTGAATCTTTTAATAGCCAGGAACATTCAACACATAACCTAATAGGTAACTTTTTTAACAATAATAACGGGATATCAGCACAGTTACAGGACAAAATAGTCGGTACGATACCTCATCCGTTAGAGGAGAACAAATTTGTTACTTATAAGAAAGATCAAACTTACTTGGTTTATACAAAGGTCAATTCCAATAGCCAAGCGCAACACCATAAAAACCAAAATCAGCAAAACGCAAAGGTGATACAGAATCCTTTAATATTCCAATTCGTGCCTTCGGTCAGCTATCAGTTGGAAGATGAGAAAGAGCAGCAGAAGATTCTCAACGCCTTCAACATTGATGATTATGGGAACCCGAAGAAAAGTAATCACCAAGAGCAAAACAGACACGACGGCATCCTGACAAGTGATGTAGACTTTGCTGTAGAACATCCAACTGCAGCTAAACTAGTCGATGGGCAATACAATGAAGTAAATACTTTGTATAGAGGACCTTCGTCTTACTCAGCTCCTCAAGCTTCTGTGGGGAGTCTAGAAACTGTACAAAATAGTGCAAGATTAGAATTAGAAGAAAAGGGTTATGCTAGAGTGACTCCTGATAATCCATTTACGTATTAAAAATGAAAATAAGTAAAAGTGACGAAATTAAATGCAGTCCATTAAATTGTTGTTGTGGAATGAACACAACGAATCTACCTACCTATCTCTGTCAATTTTAATATAAATGAACAAGAGAAGAGTTGCAGTTTTTCGTAAGACTCTAGTTTAACGTAATTAGCGGCGTGAACTATAATTATGCTATAATTATCTTACTACGACATAATATTGAATTATAAGTATTGTTAATAGTGTCATCCTTTCTTGTCACACAGGAGCTGAGACAAATTTATGAATAAGTAATGTAACATAAAAATGTACATCAATTCATTGCTAAATGTGCGACTCAACTTCCCAACGCGAAAGTCGTTGGGAACTAGTTTTTTCTTACACTTACCTACACTAAGGCTCAATTCATATTGCAGCGAAACGGACTGAAAGCGAATTTTAGTAACAATATTTTACATAACATAATCAACTTTATAGTCAAGTACAAACTAGATACGAGCCAAAATATTCCGGTGAATGCGCGAGCATTCTCGAACATGCGCGAGAATTCCGCGGAAGATTTGGGCTCGTATCTACTTTTTACGTTACAGAATTGACCACAAAGTTCATTATGCTGTGTACAATATCGTTCCAAAAATTCGCTTCCATTCCGTTCCGCCGCAATATAAATTGAGCCTAAGGTAGAAAGTTCAAATTTGCAAGCGTCCTCCACGAAGACACCCGCGCTCATGCGATTCCACAGAGTTAGCATCGTTTAGAACGATCTATTTTAATACTTTTACTTACACCAAGGCTGCGTGCGAATAAATGTTGTATTCAAATTGTAAAGTTGTATGCAAATTTTATTTTGCAGTATATGCGTACCATTTAGTAAGTACCTGATTAGTAAATAGCTTGTCAGCTATTATTTTGAAAGTTTAGCAACACACAATGCAGGAAATATACCTACGAATTTTTAGCGTAGCTATGTTCGTAGATATTCAAGTCAAGCTACGACAAAAAATTGGCGACGCATTTTCTGCCATATGTTGCTACGCCTGAATATATGTGTTTAATAATATTAATATATGTTTCTTGTAAATAAATTATAATAAATTTAATTATTATTAGAATGTATATCAAAATAATGTTACCATTTGAGAAATAAAATTATGTAAAGAACATTTTCATTTCAATCTTTGTCGGAGCGAGTAATTCAGAAAATTAATTATGAAATTGAGGTTAAATATTTATTTAATATAGGTGGTAGTCCCGGAGGAGAACAGCTCACTCACGCCGTTCTTAAGGCGAATCACAGGAGGAAAAGCTAAGAAAAACTATTTTGTTAGATCAAAATGTTTATGGGTATTTACTATTAACTCTCACAAAAAATATACCATACACCTAAGAAAATTGCCTAAATAATGTGCTAATAAGTTACACAATAGGACGTACTTTACCCGATAATATAAAATCCGGAAAACAGGCTAAAACTAAAGTCTAAAACGAGTTATGTAAGAATAAAATATCTAACTTTGCTCACCATTTTCATATGGAGATATTACTCATAAAGTACTGCAGAGAACCTGCTAAATTTTGGTTTTCAATTGGTGGCCTACAGTTATTAAATTCACATTGATCCCAAAACTTGAAAACTGCTCAGCGGTTTAACGACACACTGCAGCGTCACATCTCAGTCGCCATCGAGCGCTTAAAAACGTCATTTGTCAAATTTTCACTGCCTGTTCTTATTTAATTCTAATAAATTATTTTTAATAGCAATAGAGCTCCCAGTGAAAGAGTTCGTCCAGGGAAGTACTGCCACCTTACCTATTTCTGCGGCCACATAGTAATGTGAGCATTACTGCGTTCCGGTTTTGAAGGGTAAGGGTGCTGGTGAAATTATAGCTTATGTCTCAGGGTAACGGGCGCAGTAGCAGTGTTCTTAAGACATTTGCGATTTAAAGCTCTGAATGGCTCTGCAACGTTATGGATAGGAATGTTACTTACCACCAGGGGCACGACTCGTTCGTCCCGTCACTTGGTATTACAGGATAATAATAATATTTCTGCCCACGGAAATTAAATACCTCACCTACTAAAATCTAGGCTGACCTTAATCCTCGCTCACCGAAAAAGGTGCACAACCTTTGGAAAATATATATAACGTCTCCAGCCCCCATTTGGTCATTGTAGGGAACTGTTGTCTAAATCCAGACCAGTGCACAGCAACAACATTATAAATGTTATTGGAACAACTGCATGCCACTGGTTGCCACTGATGGTGAAATTACAAGCACATGGGACTTGTCAACTTAAGTCTCAGGGTGCAAGGCGCAGTGAGAGTGCCCCTCTGACCTTTGTAATTTAAAGCTCTGAGTGACACAGCAATTGTTAAAAAAAAATACTGAATAAACTTGATTACGAACTAATCGAATATTTTTGGTCTCTTACCTAGTCCTTTTTTTTATTGAAAATGTACACGTAATTGACCTCTCGTTTGTCTAACAACACCTATTCACTTTGACCTTGAACAGCCTTAAATTCTGGTTTCTGGAAAACACAGATACCGGTTATGATAAAAATGACCTACTACAATGTGAAGGCACGCCTAAAAATTATTACTAAGATAGTTTCGAGTTTATAATCTTTAATATTATTCGTAAAATAATTTGATGCTGTTAACAATGATTTAAGTAATTGCAACCGAGACATGAGAGCATGAAGTGATAATGACTTTAGTACTTTAGTAGCAGTAGAGCATCTTGTGAAAGAGTTCGGTTTAGGAAGTAATGTCACCTTATCTATTTCTGCCGCCAAGCAGTAATGTCAGTATTACTGTGTTCCGGTTTTGAAAGGTAAGGGTGCTGGCGAAATTACAAGCACATGGGACTTGTCAACTTACATCTCAGAGGTACGGGCGCAGTGGCACTGCAACTGTTATGGACAGGCGTGTGTGTAGTTTACATCAGGCGCACGACTTGTTCATCCTATCACATGATATTATAAATAATCTCAGTACAAAGTACTAAAAAAACCGACCTCAAAAGTACGAGGAATCACATTTAATTACCAAGTTTTATTGAAATCGGTTACCGGAAAGCGCGCAAACCTGGATTCATCCCCTAGTTCGCCACTTTACGGGACTTGACAATGGAGATAATAAAAATCGGTTCTCACTACTCAAAGTATATTGATAGAGAAAAACGCCTCGAATTGGAGAATAGCAAAATCAATCATTCAAATAACTGCTCCTTATATTAAAATTTAGGCGCTATTTATAAAAACGAATCTTCATGTGTGAACAGCCACCCATAGAGGTGGATGATTTTCTTCAAAATTAAATGGGACCACTATGGAAGGACCCTCTTTCCAACAAAAAAAAAATCATGAAAATCGGTTCACAAATACCGGAGTTATCGCGTAACATACATACAAAAAAAAAACATACAGTCGAATTGAGAACCTCCTCCTTTTTTTAAGTCGGTTAATAAAGCAGTTCATCTCTGCATGAAGACGGTTTCGACTGAATGCAGTTAATGCGTGAAGTCGTAATCAACGTGCATGCAGCCGAGGTCTCGGATAACGATTTCACGCATTAACTTACTGCATGCAGTCGAAACCTACTTCATACAGCCGAGATGGACTGCATGCAGTGAAGTGGAATGCCTGGAGTGAAGTTGATTACGACTTCACGCATTAACTGCAAATATTCAGTCAATCTGTTAACAGGCTAAGCTCCTAGCGTATCTTCGGTGGAAGTAGTCTGGTTTGACGAAGATGTGCGAGACGAGAATTTAAATAATATTAGCTCTTTTTTTTAATAAAAATGTTATTGCGCATTTGATCTCCATCTCACCTGATAGAAAGTGACGATGAAGTCGACGATGAAGCATACACACCTAAATAATGCCTGTTCACTCTCGCCTTCAAAAGATCTAAGTTATAACGTTCAGGGAATAAGTCTGCAGGCAGGGAATTGCACTCCATACCCGTTCGGCATATACATTTGGAAGCGTAACGCTTCGTGCGAATCTTTGGAAAATCCACAACATAGAGGTGGAACCCAAGTCTACGTCTAGTCCCCCAGTGATGGAAAGGGAAAGGTGGAATTAAATCGTGTAAATTCCATTGCACACTGTCCACAGACATCATATATCACGATATTTCCTATAAAATACATCGGTATTAAGCAGAAAACTTCACGGCGGTGTTCAAGGCTCTGCAGCTTCGCCTCTACTAATTCCGAGTCACCTATAAGCCTCTTGCCTCTTGTCAATTGAATCCAAGGTGACTTCTTGATATGTAGCAGAGCCATCCCAAAGGTGGCAGTACTGTATCATATACCGGACTTGTGCTTGATACAGCTGAAAGAACTGTCGTGGTGTAAAGTAACACCTCAACCTGGAAAGGATGCTAAGCTTCCTTGCTGCACCTTTGGCCATGCATTCGATGTACCTGCCGAAGTTCAAATTGGACGACAGGTACCATTACAAGTAGCTGGAGACAGTCTGGATATATCGTGTAATATTGAACCGTAACCGCTGCCTACATAGTGTTTATTAACTCTGCAACGGAAACACGATTCTCAAGATGTGCCGCGCGTGCTCGTGAGAAAAGTCCCATTATGGTTGGGCCCCAGAGTGTTTTTGAGAGGCAACTTAAAAGAAATTAATATTCGTACACTAGCGTCATAGCACCTTTATGAAAATTTAATTTATTATAAGAAGAATCAATGATATTATATAGAGAAGAATAGTATTTTATTGTTTGAACACTTAAAAAAAATATTTCCGATCCGATTGGTTTCAAACCAACGTCTGCTGGCAAACCACGCCAGACGCTATGCCAACTAAGCCACGTAACGAACCAACGGACCTCACGAATTTTTCCATTTACTTGTTTGCTGATTTTTTGTTTTTAACGACTTCTTTGCTTTAGCGCCATCTGCTTTTCATAGATTTCCCAAAGATGGCATGTAAATATAATTCTGTAATTTCACAAAAAATAATTGAACATTATGGTGGTGAAACAACCTGTCATTCAATAAAAACTTAATAAAGAATAGATTTTTTTTTATGAAAAATACTGACAGACATAACATTAATACGAGGAACAAAAATAAACTACCAGTTCTTTATAGTTGTCTTCGCCAAGAAGCAAATTTATTTAGGGGGCAATGTAATAATATTCCGGTTGATATTAAAAATATGACATTCACGTACAATAACTTTATACTTAAGTTTACACAGTTTCTGCGTACTTAGATGACAACAATTCGTGGTAGTGACCCGTGTGAAAATCCGTCGCTTAGTAGCAGTAGAGCTTGTGGAAGAGTTCGTCCAAGGAAGTACTGGCACCTTACCTATTTCTGCCGCCAAGCAATAACGTCAGCATTACTGTATTCCGGTTTTGAAGGGTAAGGGTGCTGGTAAAATTATAGGCACATGGGACTTATCAACTTATGTCTCAGGGTGACAGACACAGTGGCAGTGCCCTTCAAATCTTTGCGATTTAAAGGTCTAAGTGCCACTGCAACTGTTATGGACAGGTGTGTCGCTTACCACCAGGCGACGCGTTCGTTCCGTCACTTGATATTATAAACAAATATTACAAATAGGTCCGACCAAATTTCAGCTAATACGTGTTTAATAACTGCCTCCGTAGGGAACGGTTACCATGCTGGGTTACCACAAAGAGGTAAGCGGGATAAATATTTATATGCTCTACATTTATTTCTCTCGTGAGTTTGGGTGTTATTTGTGGTTGTCTATATGTGTGTCCATGGCACTCGCCACACAGGGTTTCCCTAGTACAGGACTATGAAAAAAAAAATTGCTTTAACTTATAATTCTGAGAAGCAGTAAAACTCCTTAAGAAACAGTGTGTCCAGTGAAGTTTCAAAGTGACGAGTGCAGTGGCAGTGTCCTTCAGACCATTGCGATTTAAATGTCGTAGTGACACTGTAACTGTTATGGGTAGGCGTGTCGCTTACCATCACACGCACGACGTGTTCACCTCGTCACTTGATGTCACAAAAAAATCTGATTTTTTGCTAAACTTTTTGTTATCATGCGCACAATCACCAGCAATAAAATATGATCGCAACAGTTTGTTACATCCTGTTTATAAATTACATTTGTACATAAAATGTTAAGCGTTCTAATAGACATTAACAAAAGGCTTTTAGATATAATAGGCAGACACGCACGGCCAATGGTAATATTACAAACAAATCATACCATATTGATATTCCAAATTCTAACCTTGATGTCAAAACCTAAAGGTATAATTTCGTACGGGGATTACCGACAGTTTGTATGTAAAGCGCGTACCAAAGTGTACATATATAAACATCATACATATATCACGTTAAAACAAGTTTTGCAATCTGGTTCCTTAAAGTTCATTCCGAGGTTTGTTTATCGCGTCATTAATATACTAAATAATAATGAAAATCTGGTGTTTGTTTGTAAAACAGCTATAGTACAATTTTGGCTTAAGACGGGAAGAGCTAATGCAACTTTTGGTGGTATTCTGCAATTTTCCTCTACCTTTGTGACATTGTTACCGGTCGGCGTTCCCGATTGTTATCGAGTTAGATTAAGAAGAAGAATACCCCAAAAAAAAAGGTTAAGTTAGGTTAGGTTGTTTATATGGGTAATTTTCAGGCTAATTTTCTCTACCTAATTTCGGTGGCAAATTTTTATTTTTAAAGTATTCGAGTATATTATCGTGGAATATTAAGTAATATTTCAGGATATGACATTCTGGAATATTTAAATACAAATATTGCCACCGAAATTAGGTAGATATTTTTTTCTTTTATACTCTTTATTTATTTAGGGGTTTTGATCGTTATTAAACATGTCAGCCCTATTAGAAAAACAATACCTCAAGAAAACGCTTAATAAAATTCAGACAGATAAATCAAACTACTACCTAACCAAACATGTATACGAAATCTTATACAAATGTATATATACAAACTCTTACCCACCCCATAGAGAGATGGAGATATATTTATTTGTAAGCAGAAAAAAACTAACCTAAAAATTACTCATTAAGAGGTTCACAACTTCCTAGTTTTGTAACTCTTAAAATGTTACATGTTTATACGTAATATTCGTACAATACTCGAGTATATTATCATAAAATATTAGTTAATATTAAAATTTAACTATTATTATTAACACTTAACAAAAAATGAATTAAAAAACAAAATTAAATTAAAAAAGATTACAAAATGAGAAAAGAATGGATCACCTGTTCACTTCCTGTATATGCGTATAGTACATACATCTTTTACAAAAACCCGTCCATTTTTTCGAGACATTCGTATTTTTTTATATCTTCCGAGTAATGTGACTCACTAATCTACTCATAACATGTCCATTTCAGTGTATTTGAATATGGAAATGGCCTTTTGTGAGTTGAATCATTTTAAAATGTAGCCAGCCTTGATGGATGACCAGCGAACTACCTGGCCACAAAGACAAATTTGTCTTTTAACAAATCGGTTTTGTTTTGGACAGAATACGATAAGTGAGTTTTTTGTGCTCTACCGATGGTGCACCCCGAGGCGATAATATTAATTGATTACAAATAAAATTTAAAAAAAGAAGTGCCAGACAACAACACCATTTGCCTGCTCTCAAACTATGGAATTCCCTGTAATACGGTGTATTTGTAAGAGTGAATTCTCTGGTAGCACCAAAATTCTCTCTGGGGCACTTCCCAGAACATCCAGACTGGAACTAGTTTACTAAAGTTCATTTCCCAATTTGGTTCCACTGGGACCGAACCCGGGACCTCCTTATCCATCGTCCACAATACAAACCGCTGGGGCACCGAGGTCGTCAAATGTGAAAGATTTAAAAAAATGATGTATAATTATTAATACAAAGATCGAACACAGAAAAATTCATTCGATCCGGCTGGACGCGAACCATCGCCTTCGCCATACCGTGGCTGACACTCTCCCAACTGAACTACTGAACCATCAGACCTTACGAATGTTTCTATGTGCTTGTTGCAGATTTGCAACTAACTGACTGAAGGACTTTTTGCTGTAGTACCGTCTGTGAGAAATCTATGAAAGATTTTTACAGCTAGCAGCGGTTGACTAGAATAGATAATATTATTAGACAATAATATTACACAATCTTTTTGTTATCAATGGCTGCCTATGAGGCGTTACACATCGTTTAAATCTGCTTATTTTATGCTTACGTCATAGATATGACGAAACACATACATTTACCCATCGTATTAAGGTCCTTCAAAACGCCATGGAATCAATAAGGCAAAGCTAGACGTGATTGTTCAAGAACCTGTTATTTTCCTGTTTTCAAATTAATTGCCATTAATTATATACAACAATATGTCAAATGTTTAACATAAATTAGAATTATCAAAATATAAATCGACTTTGTACAGTTTAGTTGAAAAATCTTATCCATAACGTTTATTTTTGGAAATAAGTTTCCGCTCAGAAATTAAACGTATAATTGTAATGTTGTTGGTGAACAAATAACCCAATTCTCAAAGATCTCATTGTAGCTAGAAATAAAATATAATAAATACACTGGCTATAATAAGTAGATAAGACATAACATAATATCGATACCTCCGATTAATAATTAATACTTCTTAATTTTTTGACGTATTCTGTTTTTATTTTGTTTTCTGTTTCTTTATTTTTTCACAAATGTTTTTAAATTTATTCTTTCAAATTTTGTTCTTGTGTCTTGTTTTATATTAATAAATAAATGTGGCTGTTTACAACAAGAACCAAGAAATAAAGTTGGCTTAGTGTTACTTGGAGGTATCTATATGTGAACAACAATTAGGAGTACCGAAAAAAACTTTTGAAGTCGGTTTTTTTTTATAAAAAAGTTTTAATTATTTTGTGTAATTTTGAATTTGCTTCGTCTTTTTAACTATACAAATTGTTCAATTTCAATAATCAAAGTACAGTACGACTTTATTTAAAGTATTATTAGTAAGGAAAGCGAAGACAGAAAAAGCTACTTGTATCAACATATGCAAATATGTTTATGTATAGGCACATATATCCATCTACGTATATATTTTTATTTTACTTATCATATAGTGCACTTATGACGATAATATCTGGTGGCACCGCTTTTGCATATGCCAAATGTCTATCCTAATGTTGCCTGGAAGAAATTGCTACATGGTATTGTTGTAACATTTATTGTATTTTAACTGTAATTTTATGTCCAATAAAGAATATTTGTTTCATTCATTACACTTTAAATCTTAAAAAAAAATAATCAAAAATCCTGTAAAGCAAGAGCAGAAAAAACAAATGTCCGCGATTTGATTCTTAAAATTGCTTCATTTTAACATATTTTTGAAAAACATTCGTGGGATTACGAGAAGCACACTCGTCGTGTAAAGAAAATTTAAAGATTTTGGAAAATTAAAGAAAGAAGCCACAATAAGCTTATTTATTTGCGTTCCACATTGTACACACGCCAGCACAGCAAGCTACACATTGACGTATCTTGTTCCGTTTATTATCAACTACCAAGAATTTATCTTCTATAACCTAACCTCCTGTTAAAAAACCGGCCTCAAAAGTCATTCATCCTTTAGTTTACCACCCTTAGAGGTGGAATATTTCTTCAAATTTAAATAGGACCACTTCCAACAAAAAAAGAATCATCAACATCGGTTCACAAATTGCAAAGTTATCGCGTAACATACATACAAAATAAAAAAAACATACAGACGAATTGAGAACCTCCTCCTTTTTTGACGTCGGTTAAAAAACGCTTTTACATTTATTTATTTTATTTTTATTTATTACAAATTTCTTTAACTTTTCTAAAAAAAATTGTTTTTTTTTTTCCATTTTTTATAGTTTCAGTTTCCGTAAGGTTGTTATAATATATTTTTAATGACTAGAGAAATGCATATTTCGTCTAAAATACGGTAATACCGATCTGTTTATATTTCGAAATGCATATTTAGTTGGGATATCTTTACGATTTTGATACAGCCCTTGATGGTTTCGTACAAATTTACAAATTTTTAATATAAGGGAGACTCAGGAGTTATTGTTTGAAACTATCTGTTTGGGCTCTATTTGTGAGGTTTTTAGCTAATTTCTCTCTTAAAGTGAAGAAAAGTTTTCTAATTTATTTTGTAAAGCTTCACAATTTCGAATTAAAAATTGATATAACCTCCATCGATTATATTTGTTGCTCATATTTTGAACACATTTGTCATCGATTGTATAGTGAACTGGTCAACGGGGAACGACAAAACTATATTTTGCAAAATGTTTACTGTCTGTGGACAAGGTCAAGGACTCAAGAGACATATATAAGACGTGTATGGACCAAACAGGTCACAGTTGAGCTTTCTGACAATCTACAAAATGGTTTTCAAAGTAAGTTCTGCACTTTTTAAATATCTGCAAAATGAAGCTATACCCAAACTGTAAAAATTCTTGAATTTGAATGTGTTGTTGCAATCATCTTTGATGTAACCACTGTTCAAGTTACAACTTAATATCGTTTCCAATAACAAAACTTAGTATTCCAAAAATATTGTGATGTGTTGAAAATTTGTGAAACATGTTTAAGTTATTTTAAATTATATTATAAGTACTATTTTAAATAGTAAAATCGCTAGACTGTTATATATTTCACTGGATAATTTTCTCTAAATGACACTGTTTTTTTTGTAATACCGTGTTTTTTCATTGTAATTCATATAGTCTTATGTTTCGAAATTAACTAGCAAACTCTCGATTGTGACAATATTTCTCGAACAAACCACAACCACCAGTGTATTATGTTGTACCATCACACAACAGTTGTAGAAGTAATTTCGAAACCACTAAGCTTAAAATAGATGAATTGTACACTATGAGACATCTTAAAATCGATGACCTTTTTTTGTTTTTATTAATGGATCTTTTTATCCTGCTCTATTTTACAGATCACTTGCGTTGTTCTGTTATTAGCCGTGGCAGCTTATGGTAAGTGATTTCATTTTTACACACTTGACGAAAAACAATTAAATATGTAGTCTTGCAAGTGTGGTCTGTACAAACCAAATTTCCTATATCATTTTCACTTCACTTTCACAATTGAATGAAACACGATATGTTCCGTTGAACATTCCGTCCGAACTCTGGATATTAATTTCTAGAAAGGTCTAGTTGTTGTAGTATCCCTTGAAATTATAAAAATTGAAACAGACTGAAAATCTCATAATTTTCAATTTGAAAATTTATTTTCTAGTCACAGCTTTGCCACATGGAGGCTACGGTGGGGGCTACGGTCACGGGTACAGTGGCTGGGGTGGACATGGTGGATACGGTGGTCATGGTGGCTACGGACATGGCTATGGACATGGCTACGGACATGGTAAGTAACCACTATGTGACTACGATTAACATAAATATAATTCAAAACTCTTGATAAAAAAATTACTGTCTCATCAAACATATTTTTTTAAATTTTTGCAGAAGAAGTTTGTAATCTTTGATCACTTTATGTTTTCTGTGGTCCGAGATTAGCCCACTATTTTGCGTAAATTAACTTACCATTATATATAACTAACAAAGTTAAAATTTGATTAATATCATGTAGTAACTTTAAATAAATAATTAATTACAAAATGTATCTAAGAATGAAAAGAAATTTGAAAAATAACGTTGTTTCCTTATTCTAAATTCTAATATTGTATTTTTTTTAATAAGGATATGGACACGGCTATGGCCACGGTGGTTACGGACATCACCACCACGGATATCACCACCACCATTGACACGAAATACACGGATGTTAGATACTGTTATTTACATTGTATAAGTTATAGATAATAAATATGTTATTTTGAAAAGTATACTTATTTTGTTTTCAGAAATTAATTTGAAAACGATGTAATATTATTTTTGTGTTCTTTGTCTAATTTCCATGGGATTTAAAAAAAAAGTATTTAAGTAAATTATTCCAGAATATTCATTAATATTTCACTAGAATACTTAAATAATAAAAATTGTCACTTGGAAATTAGACAGTGAACCAGTGCTACCTGAAAATTTCCAGTTTACCTTAAATTTACAATCGAATAATAACCAAAAAAAATAGTTTGCTTTCTAAATGACTTCAATCGATTATCGATCTTCAAACTATCCAAGTATCGCGGCGATTCTTGGATAGTTTGAAGATCGTTCGAAGACGTTGGTACGTCGCCATATTGTTTTCGTTAAACTCAAAACGCTTGTTAGTCTTATGCAAGTAATTGCCCAAGGAGCACACTTTATACGCCTTAAAACTGTTATATCTATAAACAGTCTTAATATGGTATTGGTTTAGATAATAGTTCTCTATAAATGGTTTTAGAAAAAAGAAATTGTTCTTATAGACTTATTTCACTCAAGTCAAAATTTTAACACTTTAATACCAAACAACTTAATTAAGTGTAATCTCTCTTAAGATTTACTCTTATAGTCATCTTATACTCCCTATTTTAAGTTCATCTGTAGAACAACTGATTATTTTTAGTAAAATTGTTCTATACACATCCAGTAAAGTCTATTAATACTCTAAAAACTTGTGTTCTTAAGTTTATTCTAGATATATTTAATTTATAGACATTCTGTAGTGTTTGTACTTATTGTCATCACGTTGTAGCGCGCATTCAGTAGATTTTATTTAAAAAAATACTACAATTAGGGTATTTACTCTATTAAACGTTGTAAGAGTTCATGCAATATGGATAAAGTAAAGAATATTAAAAGATTTGATGGAGATAGTGAACCTTGGATATTAAGTCACATCATTCAATACAATCAGCGTTGCCAATGCCAATTGTTCAAAATCCCCAAAAATCTCGGTTAAAATCCCCATATTTGGGGAGAGCAAAGTTCATATTCCCCACAATTTCCCCACATCTCGAGTTTTCATTATTAATTAGAAACACATCGCTTAAAAATATAATAAAGAATTAAGAAACTCAAAATGTAATAATCTATTACGTTTGCTGTGAATGTAAACAGAATGTAAAGAGTAAAACTAATTATACAATTAGATGACCTCAAATCGTTTATTTATTTTAATAATAATAATAATAATAACGTACACACTCAACATAGACCCGCACTAGGGAAGCCCTGTATCGCGGATGCCATGGACACACGTTTTTACCACACAACCACAAACCACAACTTTTACCCAAACTCACACAAATATTTCTCACGACCCGGGAATCGATCCTGGGACCTCTGCATGGCAGTCCGGCATGGTAACTTTCGGCCACGGAGGCAGTTATATTAATTATAATATTAATTAGATTCAACATTAATATGTAATCAGTCTGAATAAAAAATCATTTTACTTTGCCTTACAAAATTAAGTAAATTGATTATTTGTTGTGCATTTGGTGACACTATGTTAATGTTAGAAATAATCAATGAGTTTCGACCTATATTTAATATTTAAAGTTGACGGGTGGTAAGTTGTGGTGTGGAAGTACCAACTGCTCGGCTTTGTTTATCAATAGCTGATTTTGTTTTGCTTCATACCGGAGACCGTCCTAAGCGGGAGAAAGAATCGCGAACTCAACACGCACCGACTGGTAATTTCACAATTCAAAACCAAGTGCTCTAATAATAATTCTATTTAAGCTGCTTGTTAATAATACGAGGGTTGTGCGATGTTGAAAAACACGTCGATATAGTCCATCACAGTGTTTCTAACAGTAACGATCAAACTAGCGATGCATCAGTAATTGATAGATTAAACAAAATGATAAAATATTAGATTCCCTACATTTTCCTCACATAGCGCCAATCCACAAAATCCCCAATCTAGTTGAAACTCCCCACAATTTGGGGAATTCCCCACAAATTGGCAATCCTGGATACAATAGCCGTAATTCGCGCTCGGGCCAAATAAGACAATTGACAAATAAGTGATAAAAATAATTGAAATGAGCGCGTAAACTACTCTACTTCAATGTTGTGTATGTGTATTGTGCCGTCTGTCAATAGAATACAGTGAAATCATTGTGTGAAATGTGGTTGGCGTGAAGAAATAACCTCAATTTTGTAATGAAAATTTTATTTCTTCCAACATAACTTATGTATGTCATTAAAATATTCCTTATATTTATATGATAGGGAATTTATCCACCTTTCTAGTCATATATACACATTCCATCTAATTATACAGAATAACGTTTAGGAAATGAAACATTTTTCCGGATTTAAATCGCGTATATTTGTTTTTTCAAACAAACCGACGTTTCGGGCCCTTTACAAGTCCTATGGTCACGGTTGACTGAGGTGGTACAGTCTTCAACCAGTTATGTCTAATATTGATGCAAACCACCCTATTTTTTCACTATAGTTACAATAGTTATTAATTAAATGCCTTATTTTTAATTTTACAAAGAAAACATTCCAATTTACGCTACATTAAGTTTTACAAATAATTTTATTAAATGATTTTTTTTATTAAGTTCAATTTATTATTAATTAATAATAGAAATTAAGTCTCTCTCGTCATCGTCATCACAAAGATCTGAGGAGCACAGCAAATGTCATGGACAGGCGTGTAGCTTACCACCAGGCACACGACTTGTTCGTCCCGTCATTTAGTATTATAAAAAAAATCTGAAATTGATTCCATCACTATCACCGCCACATGATTAGAATCATTGGTCGATTTTTTAGATCCGCGTTTGTGTTTCTCCCATTGACTTACAAATAAATGGACGACGGGTCTAATACAAAAACCACGAAAAAAATGTCCCAAGTCAACCTATTCGAAATTTAAATTGTAATATCATCGCAGTATCGCGCTGTCAGTCGAACAAATGAAGACTAAAGCGGAGTTTGGCGCTCTGTATACGATTTTAGCGCCTTACAAGTGCGCTTTTTAGCGCGGACCCGACGTCCATATAATTGTAGGTCAATGGTTTCTCCTTTAGAATAATAATTTAAAAAAACGTACCGATACCTACATTTACATATTTATTAGTAAATAGACAATACGCATTCAATGCGTGTATGCCGAGCACAATGAAACTATACTTAATTTTTTTCCGGCAATCTATGCAACTTCTGTTTCCACATATAAATGAGTAACGAATTATAAATTGACCGTTATTTCGCAGTTACTTACAAATAACTTTTCCATCCTATGGGATTTGCTAAATACCAATTAGTCACCAGTAGTTGAAAAGTGTACCAAGAAGCTTATAAGTGAATCGGATTGAGTAAAGGCAAAACTGCAGAGTATTAATCATTGTCGTAATATTGCGTACTCACTGGTATTCTACACGATATATCACGGAGAGTGTGCCACAGAATTGCACGATTTAATTCCGCCTTCCACTTGCCATCATAGGGGGACTAAACGAAGGCTGGGGTTCCACTCTTATGTTGTGAATATTCCAAGGATTATTTACGTGCGCATGCTCCATCGTCGTCACTTTCCATCAGGTAAGATGGAGGTCAAATGGGCACTTATTCATTCTATAAAAAGAAATCACAGGTATTGTATTCAAACTTTACTCATATACTCATTTCTGTTTGTATTTATTCCGCTCACCCACAATATAATTCGTAATTTTTTGCTACACACAAATATGTCAAAGTCAAAGTCAAAGTCAAAGATTATTTATTCCATAGGTAAAATAAATTTACACTTGAAAACGTCACATTTAAGCTACTGCTCGTTCACTACGCTGACCTCCCTGAGAAGAACGAGCAAGAAACTCTAGGGATTGCTCTTTTCAAATAAACTTAAATGCTATGGAATACACTTTGAATCAAATTTGTGTGGATTCTGGAGCCGTGTCGTCTTTCCATACATCTTTATCTAACACGTAGTCTTCAATTTTGTAATATGAATTTTCGATCAAAATATTTTTAATGTAGTTTTTAAACTTAGGAAATGATAAACTTAATATATGCTCCGGAATCTTATTGTAAAAACGTATACAGTTCCCCATAAAAGAGTTGTTTACCTTGGTTAAACGAAATCGTGGTACCATGAGTTTGGACTTAGCTCTAAGGTTAATATTATGGATATCTTCTTTCTTATTGAAATTATGTATATTTTTACGGGCATATAAAATATTTGAGTAAATGTACTGTGATGCCACAGTCATGATACCAGTCTCCTTAAACTTTTCTCTGAGAGATACCCGAGAGCCTAGAAGGTACACAGAACGAATCGCTCGTTTTTGCAATACAAATATGGTTTGAATATCTGCCGCTTTACCCCATGAGAATCCCGTAGGACATTATACTATGGAAGTAACTAAAGTAAACTAGTCTAGCAGTACTAACATTGGTAAGCTCACGTATTCTGCGTACTGCGTATGCAGCGGAGCTTAATCTGCTGGCCAGGGACGATATATGTGGAAACCACTGAAGTTTACTATCTAAGGTCACTCCCAAGAAGACTGCTTTATTAACAAGGTCTATGTGTGTCGTATCCTAATCATTATTTTTTTGCGTTTTGACTTTAAAAACATTTTTGTTTATGTTTGTAATTATATTACACCTGGACCTAGGAATTGCGATAGAAATGCGAGGTTGACAATATGGAAAAAATAATAATAATAGTTTAAAAAATAATAATAAAAATTAATAATAAGTATTGTATTTGTTTTTAGAATATAGTACATAAATAAAATGTTATATTTACTCAGTAACATAGGTACGGAATGAAGGTCCCAGTAAGACCAATTTATTAGCAGTAAATCTGCTTGTGAAAGAGTTCGTTCCCCTGAATATCCCCAGAAATAGATATGATGGTGATACTTCCCTAAGTATCACCACCATACCTATTTCTGCCGCCAAGTAGCAAAGTGAGCATTATTGCGTTCCGGTTTTCAAGTGTAATTTACTTTGCCTACGAAATATAGATGATTTTGATTATTTTTAAATTAAGGGCAAGGGCACTCATAAAACTACAGGCATATGAGATTTGTCAACTTTGTGTTCAGGGTGACAGTCGCAGCGGCGGCGCAAGTTTGAGGCGCACGATTCGTTCGTCCCGTCACTTCGATTCAATAAAACAATGTCACTTGCCTATCTCGCTCCAGTACTTCCCACGTTTTTGTAACCACTTCTTAGCCACCATTCGGTTTCACTTTAGTCTATCTGTCAAACCCACCTTTTTTTATACATAAGAAAATACGTTACGCGTACCCCGCCGCGGGAAATGATTTGGCAGAGTTATGTGGGACTCTACTCTGTGGACCCAGCCGGCATTACAAGCTTGTTAATGGATGCTCTTAGGCCTACCCACTAAAAACCAGTGTATGGACCCTCCCCCGCCGATGACGGCTCGTGGGATCTAATTACAAAACAAACGGAATCACATTTCATCGGTGATTAAATATTATATTTGTCAATTTTCGTCCATTATAGCAACGCTCAAGTTAAACTGACTACTCAATTTGAAGTGAAACAATTGACGACACCCGTCAATTGTTTTGAATTCGGGCTGGCCAATCAAAGCGCAGTTGTCACCGCAATGATATGGCAACGTAGTTTTCAAACAAATTAAATGACATTTTGTCTCTAATGTTATATGCATATGCATTATGTAAATGAGCATGTTTTTGTACCTGTCTAGATGTAATTAAGTTAATTTTAAGATTTTTGCTCCATTATATTATGTTTTTAATTAAATTAGACCGAAATCCTTCGCCGAGGACAAAGCCGGGATTTGAAGAGCAAAGCTTATAATTACTTATAAGTATTTTTTTCTGTATTTTGGTCAATAAATTGTAAAAAACTTACCTATATATTTATGATGCCTCATAAATTATATAAGTTGGTTTTAAAAACCACCTCATAGAAATGACAAAACAAAAACGTTTCCCCTTCATATTGAGGTCACTAGACACGTCATAGAAGTAACAAGGTAAAACTAGACGTCATTTTTTTAAAAACCTGTTAGCCACCTGTTGTTTTCTGGTTTTCAAGTCGATTGCCATATCCATTAAATTTAATACAAAAATATGTCTAATGTTGAACATATATATGAGCTTTCAAAATGTAATTCGAATTTCGTACAGTTCAGTGGAAAAATGTTACCTTTACCTACTTACCAAAAAAAGGCGTAGTAGTTACAAGTGAATTAAAGCGATAAATTATTTCTATCACAAATAATATAGCCTATTACATTACAGGACACATTCTTATGTATTACGAGTAAACTTCATTCAGTATTTCTATTACTCTGCAATATAACGTCTAGTTGCATAATTTTGTAATTTACTTAATTTTTTTACTATACAAATTGCTAGGAGCACTGCTCGGTTACAAAAATTATTACGTTTGATTATTTTAAATTGCACAAAGTAAAAATCAAAACTGGCAAGTCTAGGCTTGACATGTGTACCGATTCGTGTAAATCGTGGCCGCGGTGTTTGATGGTTTTTCGACCGGGACGGCGAAGGCGTGATCGGCGTGAAATCGGCGTCGCAAATATTTATGAGGTTTCTAAGACATTGTTCAAATATTTGTATTCACTTTCAATATTTTTTTTTCACTTTAAATTATACATAGCAGTTTCTCCTATCTATCGACCCTATGAATAGGTCTTTTTGGAGGGACTACGGGCTCCCCAGTAAGATCAAGGTACGGCAGGCGACCGAGCTCTCTGCCAGTGATACGCTTTAATGGATGTTTCTGGTAGACCCGGTTTCTGGGTATGGACACGCCGGAGCTCGTCTGCCCTGGTAAAGAGTGGCCGAGGCATCCATTTCGCAGACAGCTCCCTCCCTCGCCAGCAGTTTCGGCGATGGCCTAATGCGAAAGAACGTGCGGGGCACGTGAGTGGAACGTTAAGATGGAAGCTATGTCCCGAAACTGTGCAGGACACTGTGACTAACATCTCCGGTGCTAGTCCGGCTAATTAGTAGAGGATAAGCTTGATATTCAGCCGCATAGTAATAATAGGAACTAGATAGACGCACAAAGAGGCGTCGGCAAGTGAACGTGCCTACAGCTCCGTTACAAGCTTGGGAAGTTGGTAGTTGTATTTAGATTTAAAGGCTTGACGGTGGCAACCATTAGTTGTGCAATGCACAACGGGAAGGAGCGTACCAACAGCTCCGGTACGTACCTGGAAAATAGAGAAGGTGCTATACGTGCACCTGGAGCCGTTCACTTGAGGCACCAACCTTCTGAGAAACGGATGAAATCCGTGACAACGGTCTGTGACAACCCAGATTATGGACTGATCTGGGGTCAGGACCTGAACTTATAAAGTCCCTGTGCTTGCACAGGTTATTCTCTTCCCGTGTAACCAAGAGGTTGATAGGGATGGTCACTACGAACAAAACTTATGTAAAAAGCTACGGGACTGAACTTGAGCAGTTAGGTATCTAGGTACTGTTACTGAAAATAATCAACTTAAAAAATATTTGTAAAATCCAAACAATTAAATCTAAACGCTCTTAATTTAAATCCAGTATGAATGGAATGCACATAGAACTACAAAATAGTTAATTTTAATTATACGGAAATAGTGTATATATTGGTAGGAATATAGTGAATGGAATTGAATAATTCATTGAAATATATTTATTCATCGGCAGCGAATATTTAGTCTGGACCGTAGTATGTGGAGGTCAATAGACTCTACCAGCCCCAGTGGGAGATAGGTGTGAAGGTATGTAAATATAAAGTGATATATGCAGTGACATAATATTGGAAAACCATCGGGAAATTCAAACACGCGTTCTTGCTTGTAAATGCAACATAAAACTAAATTTTCCAAAAACAGGACGAAGACAGAAGACTCAGTGATTAAGCGATATGGGTACGTACTATGGAGATGTTACTATTTCAAAAATATACTTTAAGAAATCGCAAAATTAAAGGGGGTACAAATATCCAAATAAAATTTTTCATATCCCTTTTTCTATTGACAATACGAAAATCGACAACGAAAATTGTTACTAGCACCGTTATTTCAGGATACAAAATATTTTGTAACACTTCTGTCACCGATTGTATGGTGAAATAGTCAATGAGGAACGACAACATTATATTTTGCAAAATGTTTATAGTGTCACAGGACAAGGTCAAGGTCTTAGAGACTCTATATAAGACGTGTGTGGACCAAATGCGTAATAGTTAAGCCTTTTGACATTCTACAAAATGGTTTTTAAAGTAAGTAGTGAACTTTTTAAATACTTACACATACTATTTACTGTACGAACAAACGGATGTGCCATAAACAAACTAAAAAAAGTCTTATATTGAAATAGAGCAGATAGGAATGAATTTCTGCCAAACATTCTTTTAAATAATTTATCGAATGTGTAACCATGTGTACTGTGCAACTTATAACTTATTATGGATTCCAATGACAAAACGCAGTATTCAATATCAGTGTAATGTAGTGAAATTATGTAGTGAAGTCCTATTGTTGTACTGTTTCATAGTTAACAACGCGAACAAATAAACTATCGATTGTGATGGTGTTTTGGAAGCAACTCATAGACAGTTGACGAAGTAACAAAAATCCACTGTTGGCAGCAATATTAAATGTCTATTTATCTATATGTATACATTCTAATCATATATGTATTTATTATTATTATTTATATATTTATTTTATTAATGAGTAGTGTATTTATTTCAAACACTTAGAAGATATTCTTTTGTTGCCCCCTCGTTCCAGCTTTTAAATTTCTATCCTAAGATTGCTAGGAAGAAATTGCTACCTAGCTATAAGGCTGCCTGTTGTATATTAGCTTACTCTGTGATACTTACATTACTGTTCTGTGTTGTCATTGTAATTTGTGTGCAATTCATTAATTCACAAAAGAAAGACATAGTGTACAGTGTAACAGGTAGAACAACTTAAAATCGATGTCTTTTCCTTTCTTTTCTTTATCGATCTTATTGTGTTGTCTTGTGATGTGTTTTATTTTGCAGCTCGTCTGCGTTGTTGTTTTACTAGCCGTGACAGCTTACGGTAAGTTAATTATTTTTTCTACAGAAAACAAATCAAGTGGATAGTTCTATGAGTATGCTTTGTACAAACTACCTATCCCATTTGAATTATTAACGAGTCAACATTGTCGAGACTTTTTAAATTTAAATGGACTTGCTCTTGATTACGAGCTAGCTCTGGAGCAAAGATAGGATCTACGATGGTACGAACTCGCCCAGATGATGCCTATTCAGTCGCAACTTTAAGAGGGAGCAGAGGAAAAATTCCTAATCTTCGATTTTAGAGGGGTATATCCACTTTAAAGTTAAAAATAAAATATTGTATGAGTAACTACACGATATATTCAAGCATAGACATTAATCAGAAACATAAAACAATAAAGTTTCCTCGATAGATAAAAATCACGAAATGACCTTTAATTTTCACATTTTTTCGATTCATCCTCGAAATGCTACAGGTTATTAGGACAAAAATTAGATAATTAATTATATTTATGCATGATCGAGAACTCTTACTGTGGATTTTTTTTAATCCCTTTAGTTTTAGAGTTATTCCACTAAAACGAATTTGGTACTTTTAATGCGCAAAACTCAACATCTCCTGTCGCATGTCACGCGAACTTCAGGCATATGTTTCACAAATTTGGGCGGAGCCAACGTCAAAACTTTTTTCGCATGCTCCCTCTTAAGATAGTCGGGTTGTATATGCTCGGAAACACAGGCGCAGGCAGGGAACTCCATTCCTAGGCTGTGTGCATGATAAAAGATGACAAAAAGCGTTTAGTGCCCCAGGTACTCTAGAATTTAATATCTAGAGTTGTGATTTATTGTTCTTTTTAATTAAATTCAACAATATTAAAACCTTATAATTTTGAGTTTTTATTTCTCGTTTCTCAGCTGCACCACATCATGGTGGCGACTATGGTTACGGCTACGATAATAATGGTGGCGACTGGGGCGGCCTAGGTACATTTGGTTTACTTGGCTACGGCGGCTATGGTGGCTATGGTGACTATGGTGACTATGGCGGTTACGGTGGCTACGGTGGCCACGGCGGTTACGGATATCGTGGGCATGGTAAGAGATTAATTATCTTCGGTGAAATTTTAAGCTATTGTAACAGATACTTGCAATAAATACTTAAGTGACATTTAGGTACCCATCGGGTTGTAAGCTGTTTAGTTTTGTCATAAGAACACAAACGACTGCAACAAATTCTAATTTGAAATTCTAGAAAAGTTTTCATTAACTGACGTGGATTTATAACGAATACATTCTTTCTATTTCGTTTTTAAGATTTGCTCCCTGGTTTGCATAAAATAATTTAACATTAAACTAACAAAGTTAAATTATTAACTAACTTGATCTAGTCACTTTAAAAAAGAATTAGTTACAAAGAAAATAAATTAAATAAATAATATTTCTGTTTTCGTATTTTATATTCTAATGTTGTATTTTTGTTTTCATAAGGACATGGATATTATGACGGCTATGGTCAGAATGGTTACGGACATCACCACCACGGACACCATCACCACTACTATTGACACCAAATATAAAGATTAATATGTTATTTACAATGTTATTTATTGGAAAGGAAACTTATGATTGATATGAGGATTTAATATCGCGATATTAATTTTCAACGTTATTTATATTATGTAAATCGTTTGAAAGACAATAAACATGTTATTTAAAAGTTCTTCGCATGTTTTTCTTAGATTAGAAATCAATTAGAAATGTTTGCTTCCTAATTTACTTTAACGGTCATTGAACTTGAACCATTATTATTGCCGGAGGCGCCAAGGTCCATAAATATTTTTTTTTAACTCAAAAACGTGTGTTAATTTAGTACAGGTGATTATTTTGATTAACAAATATTACCATCATAACCATAACTGTGAACCTCACCACCACGGACATCATCACCACCACTATTTATACCAAATACACAGACATTAGGACACTGTTATTTATTGGATTGGAAACTATTTTCCTTATTCAACATCAGGTACTTTAGTTGTTGTGTAGCAATCTTATTTATATATCTTATATATATATTATTTCGATACCTCCAATGAACACTTTGCCATCTTTATGTTTTGGTCATTTTATGTTACTTTTGTAAACAGCCATATTTGTTTTTTGTTTCTTTATTATTTGTGGTCACCAAATTTTGTATAAAAAAGATTATAAAAAAACAAAAAACAAAATTCGAAATAAAAAACAAGCATTTTGTGGAAACAAAAATTAAAATAAAACACAACAGGTCCAAAAATTAAGTTGCCGTTGTGTCCATTGTAGGAATCGATTTATTTTATTATGACGCAGAGCATGTGTTATTGTTAATAATCTCAGTACAGAGTACTAAAAAAAACGACCTCAAAAGTACGTGGAATTACGTCTATTTGCTAAGTTTCATTGAAATATCCCCTAGTTCGCCACTATACAGGACTTGATACTGGAGATAATAAAAATAGGTTCTCACTACGACACTACTCAAAGTATATCGAGAGAAAAACACCTTGAATTGGAGAAATAGCAAAATCAACTAAATAATTGCTAAAAGTAATTGCTCCTAAATTAAAGTTAGGCGCTATTTATAAAAATGAATCTTCATGCGTGAACAGCCACCCTTTGAGGTGGATGATTTTCTTCAAAATGAAATGGGACCACTATGGAAATACCCCCTTTCCAACAAAAAAAGAATCATGAAAATCGGTTCACAAATACCGGAGTTATCGTGTAACATACATACAAAAAAAAAAGAACATACAGACGAATTGAGAACCTCCTCCTTTTTTGAAGTCGGTTAAAAAGTTTAGAATACATTGGACTACTTTTTAATATTGTTTCCAAATACGTTCTCTGCCTTTCAAGGCAAGTACTCGACACTGTTATTCATATGGTAAGGATATTTCTTTAATTTAAAAGTTGTGAAAGAGATCGTTCAGGATGGTACTGCTAACTTAGCTATTTCTACCGTCAAGCAGTAATGTAAGCATTAGAGCTTTCCAGTTTTGGGTAAAGGTAAGGGTGCAGATAAAACCACAGGCACATGGAACTTGTCAACTTTGTCTCTCAACGTGACGGGCGCAATGGCTACGATCTTTGCGATTTAAAGCTTTACAACTGTTATGGACAGGCGTGTTGCTTACCACCAGGTGCACGACTTGTTCGCTCTGTTACATGGTATCACAAAAAATTATAATAAATACGTTATTTAAAGTTAAATATGTTAGTTAAGTAAGAAATGAAATTCAAAATGGTAATATTGTACCTTAACTAAACTACTTTGACCTTATCAATTAGAAATGTTCGCTTCTTAATTGATTTTAACCGGTTATTAAAGCTGAACTAATTAAATATACTGCCGGAGGAAAAGTTGATCTAAGATATTTCAAACTTTACCTTTTCCCGCTACCTATAGACGTGCGTTTCTATCGGGGCTAGAACTAAGAATATATGGCATCGTGACGTCGCACTCATCATTTAAGAATGGCGTGGAGTTACGTCAAAGATGTCTATTGCTCCATTAGATACAAAATAATATAACCCACATCTTCTCCGATTGGAGATTCATTCTTCCATTAGGGGTGCGGTTTGGCAATTTCGAATGGGCCCGATTTTTCGTTAACGGACTTCGAGAGTAGTTTCATGCTACGAGGGTGGGACCCCTGATATATTTTATATATAAATGTATAAATTTACTTAAAACATTCGCGCGAGCCACCGCCCGAGCACGAGCTATTATGCCGTCCTAAACATTTGTAAGTGATGTAGAATACATTGTAAAGAATTTTTAAAAAATAATTTTATTTCACCAAAGGACGTAAGAGAACGCTGTTTGGCCACACCAAATCTTAACAGTGACATTATTGCTCTAAAGCATATCATAATTCTACATAAAAAAAACAATACCAAAGACAAGTCAGGCTCGCCCAAATGCCCGGGATGCTCATTTAAGTTAAAACGTAAAAGTTAAATGAATAGAGTGTATTTTGCCATTACAGTTAGACGCACGCGATCTCCGCACGGCGGCCGCGTGGCGTAAGCGTGATGAAATTCGCTTCGAATAAAAGAGTAAGTACAATATTTTTTTTAATTTGATCCAATATATTTACAGTTATCAACTATTATTACATTGTTCTTGAAAGTACAGAGAACAGGTTCAAGAACCTAAATTATATCTTTTAAGAGCTCAAAACTTCGTGGAATTACATCTATTTGCCAAGTTTTATTGAAACCGGATTCATTCCCTTTAGAGGTGGAATGTTTTCTTCAAATTTAAATGCGAGTAATACCTGAGATATATTCCTCTTTCCAACAAAGAAAAGAATTTTCCAAATCAATTCGCAAATGTAGATATATAAGTAATTGCGTAAAACTACAGTCCAATTGAGAACTCCTCCTTTTTTTGAAGTCGGTTAAAAATATTGAACCTCTAGCGACACGCAGTACAGAAATCTCACGGGATAAGTAAGCACTACTCACACATACCGATGATCGCTGGCTTACATGCTCAATGACGGCGAGCGGTTTATAGAAGTCAAAGTTTATTGACGTCACTATCATTATTTGTCACAAACATTTAATAGCTTGTAGAAGAAACATTTGCATTAATGTATGAGAAAAATATCTGCCATGGCACATCAATCGGAAAAACCAGGATGCTCGAGCAAATGTTTTAGAGATAATAAACACGTTATTTCAGATTTATTTGTATTTTTTCTTAGATATAAATTTTAAATGCTAATATTCTTTACGTCTATAACATTTTATTTTAACCTTAATAAATTACAAAAGTTCGGTTCCTAAATGACTTTAACCGGCTATTGAACTTGAACCACCATTATTGCCGGAGGCACCAAGGTCGGCGAATAATTTTCCTCAAACTAAAAACACTCGTAATAATTTGATTAACAAATATTACGTTGATTTAAATAAAAACCCTTTGAATTAGCAAATTGCTTTGATTATTGATAATAAGTTGTGTAAACTAAGAAACATTAAAATTAGGCAGCTCATAAAAACTTTAAGTTTGTTTACTTATGTTACTTTTGCCATGACCCGTGTTCTTGTAAATTTTTTTTATGATACAATTTTTTTTATATAATATCAAGTGACGGGACGTACAAGTCGTGCGCCTGATAGTAAACTACACGCCTGTCAATATCAGTGGCAGTGCCACTCAGAGCTTTAAATCTCAAAGATTTGAGGGGCACTACCACTGCGCCCGTCACCCTGAGACCTAAGTTGACAAGTCTCATATGCCTGTAATTTCACCAGCACCCTTTACCCTTCAAAATCACAACGCAGTAATGATCACATTACCGCTTAGCGGTAGAAATAGGTAAGTTGGCAGTAATTCTCTGGACGAACTGTTTCACAAGAAACTCTACTACTACTAAGAAACGGGACAAGCAAATCGTGCGCCTGGTGCGACACGCCGAATAATTATTGTCTGACTCACTATGTTTTGATCAAACGCTAAACACTTATTCAAAGTAGAACAAGTGATAAACAAATAACATTAAACGTAAACAAAACCATTTCCCAAGAATTCATTAATAACTCTATTTATTATGATTACAATAAACAAAAATGTTTATAATAGTGATTAATCATCGGAGGTCGGGATACTGGCGTGTCAAATCAATTTTAAAATTACAATGCTGTGATTTAACAGCACTCATGTGATTTCCCTAGGCCTAATCTATACCCTGACATTTAACTATACAGGTATTAGTGTTTTAAATGAGATGTTAAAAAATAAAATGCACTGTAAGTTTTAAATGTACAAATTATTTTGATATTACACGGTACGCATCAATACTGTCTTTTGGTTTGACAATTACGCACCCGAAATGCAGTACAATGTTGCGGGACACCTGTGTTAGTGAAAACTCTCAGATCGCGCAAACGTCTACGCCCACTGACATCTAATAGGGGTCTAATAACAATTGTCGCGGCTCAAATTTCAACAATAAAAAACGACATTCTATCGTAATTATCGTATCAAACCAAAACACTGCCAGGTTCAAGAAAGTTTTGTAATTTCATAACTTTATTCGTTTTTCAATAGCAATAACTTACTTTCCAAAGTAAAATTGTATAGATTTCTTTAACATCTAATGTACAACGTAAGTTAAATGTACCTTTTTATGTTATTAACCTCAAACCAGCGCATTTGCCAGATCAGTGCGCGCCCCTATCTCGTATAATTGTTCTGGTTGCCCGTAAAAAATGCGCGTCAGATCATCCAACGCTCGTGCAAACACGCTCGTAGCGAATTTCACTGCAAGTTGCAGCGCTACTTTGTGGCCTTTTATAATTAAAATCATATTTGTAATTGACGCTCTACGTTGACGATTGTAGCAATAAGCAAATTCGCTCTTTCCACTCTTCTACAAAGAGCTATAACTAAAAACAATAAATTACATAATTACAGATAGTATTGTTTGTTTTGTCAAAACATCAGTTTCTTAAATGTGCTTTATCTTTCTAGGTATTTAATAATAGACTCATAACATGATAAACTTTATGC